ATTCCTCTGCTACTCCCATCTTCACATTACTTTATGCAGAAAAGTCATGCCTCATGTCTTACCCCTTTTCCCCCAAACCACCACTGACCTGTAGCATGAAGAATATAAAAGTGTTATCAAGGTTAGCTGTTAATATCAGTTAGAGTAAATGTACACTGAGGATGTGACTATGAAAAAGTCAGAAACCACTAGAAGAATCTTTGGGTTTATTCATTTGTATTCAGATATATCCTATATCCTCAGGGAAAAAACCATGAGAAGCTGCAATGAATAGTAATATATGTAATTTCAGGGGACAGAGCCCTAGGAAGTGTATTCCTAGTTAACTATTTAAGAAAAGAGTCTGTGTGTGTGTTTGTATATTTATGTGTTTATGTGTGTGTATGTATGTGTGTGTGTGCATGCATGCAGGTGCATGAATGCCATTTGGAATAGTATTTGTCACAAGTTAAGAAAACAGTGCTCAGGTACAGTTCAAATGCTTTAAAGAACCAGTGTGCAGTAATTCTAAATACAATGAGTGGGTATTTTCAATTTTTTCCATTCCTTCCTTCTTTTTATTTCCTTCCTTCTTTCTTCAAGCATTTGTATTTGCATAAATAAATCCAGTGTTATATTTAGTCACTTCCTCTGCTGAATTTATGGAAGAAGGCAGAGGCAGGAATTGTTTATGGCGACAGAGTATCCAAAAATTATTCACCTTTAACTTTGGAATGTTTTTCTGAATTTGTATTGAAAATATGGTGTTTCAAAGAGTTGTGATGTTGATTTTAACTAATTAATGTACTCCTGACTTGAACACTTATATGAAAAGGTATTGGAAGTGGTGATCTTCTTATGTGAACTCTCCCTTACCATCCTCTGAACACTTTTTACCCAGAGATATAGAGATATCTCACAATAGTCATAACTTCCCCTTTCAAAATTTCCAGTCTTTGAAAAGCCTTCTTTATTGATTATGTAAAATTAGTACTTGTCAACAAAATCATCGATTCAGTAGTTTACCTTACAAGCTAGTGTTAGGTTTTCCTCATAAAGAATAACAGTATAATGGTTTGTCGTATTAACACAGGTCAATCCCCAAACCCCCTCCCTCTCCACCTAATGCCTAATGCTAAAACCTTCTAAACTCATTGTACAATGAACAGGGTTGCTACAGCCTGAATGCAAGGGGAGGAAAGTTCCTCTTTTGTTTTCTAAAATAAACTTTTGTTGATACACTTTAAATTTTATTATATATTGATTCTAATGTTATGAGATAAACCATCATTTTTGAAGGATGCATGCCTAGCCAGGTTTATAATCAATAAAGAGGAAATTAAATTTTTTCCAGTTAGTGGGAAAGACAGAATACACAAGTTTACTCAAGACTTAAACTACCTCCTGAAGACACAACCCATTCCAGCTCTTTCAGAGACATTTTCAGTGGCTTTTGGGAAGCTTTGGGGATGCTCTTCTGATCATCTTTGGGATAACAAGAAATTTGATGGGGAAAAAAATCCTTGAGATTCAATGACTAGTAAGTAAAACTTATATTGTTGATGTTAAGACATGACGGTAAGGACCAAGTGCCCTCCATCTTGGATATTGGAGTGATGGTGTCCCTGCTAGTTCCCTCTTGAGCCTACTGTAACCATAGGAAGAAGGAAGCAAAAACCCTTGTCATAACTGAAAAGGAGCTGAATCTGACTGAGTTTACTGGAGAGTAGAGACAAAGTCTGATGGTGGATCTCACTGCCTTTGGAAGAGTTAGCAGTTGAATTCCTAGTCCAGTGTCATGTGCAAGTCACCCTGGTTAACACAGTATCTAATCAGAATAGCAATATAAGTAATTATAAAGAAGGAGTATAAAAATGATTAATTGTGGCCATGTAGATAGTCTATAAATACAGGCCAACATTCTTGCTGTAAAGCAGAAAAAAATCTCTTGAAGAGCTCTCTGTGTTGAAATTTTATTCAGTTATTGCTGGAAGAAAAATTAGTGTATCCAAATTAGTAAAGAAATCAGTCTTCAGAGCACAGGGTTTGGCCAGCACAGGTAACTTTGATACAAAACTAAAAAGAATGGGCAAGATAGGAAGGAAGGAGAGAAAAAGAGAGGATGGAAGGGTGTGAGGAGAGGAGGGAGAGAAGGAGGAATGGGAGAGAAAGAGAGAAATTGATTAAAAGCATCCTTCTCCTTTGCAAGACTTGATTTGGAGAGCAGAACACCCCCTGGCCCCTCTGTGAGATACTTCAGTGAAGTGCAGATAGTTTAATTCTAGGTCATGTCCTTGACTCCATTGTCAGTTTAAATAAAAGTGGATAATTACTGCTGTTTTTTAAATCCATAGACATTATGCAAGGCCAATTAAGAATTCATTAATAAGTAAATAATTCAGGAAATACTCTATCAGTTTAAGCAGTTATTAAAGCCATATATTAGCTCTATAACTTTAGGAAAAAAGCATTATATCTTTTGTGAGCCAACCAGTGTTTTAAAATTGATAAATAAGAGTATAAGCAGCATAACAGAGATAAGAGTTTATACAAATTTGAATCTTTGCATAATTTTTTGGAATATGGATGTATACAATATTTACTTACAATAATCTTCCATGCTTGTATCTATACATTTTTCATATTTAGTCCAAATTGGGTTAAATTTTAGTGTACTTGTAAAAGTACTAAGAAAATATATTTTTCAAGAAATGCACAAAGATTTTATTTGATGGCATTACTTAAAAGAAAATATATCATCTCTATCAAATAAATCTTCACATCTGAAAGTTAAGGAGGGAGTAAGTTTCTGTGATTAGAAAGGAAAACTTAATGACTTAGCAACACATCACTTTCATTGGGATCCTAGGTGAGTAGAGTTAGTTGAGAGACTTCCCCCATTCCCACCAACCTCAGTTGAAAGTAAACATTTAATTAAAACAGCAAACATGACTACATAGTCACAAAGAGAGTAATCTAGCAGCTACTTCACTTATGAAAGTAATATATTCATGAAAGGGTAATGCAAATTTTAATTGCAAAAAAGAAAACATATTGGAAATGTCTCATTAAAAGAGACAAGTGGTGGCTTCTTTTCACTTTTTGCTCAGTCTTCTTACATAGACACATGAAGTACCCCGTGGTTTGTACATTTCTCAACCTGCATGGCAATCTTCATCATTCAAAGTTGAAAGTTATAGAAACCTCAATTTATTTTTTTAATTTTTAATTTATATATGACAGCAGAATGCATTACAATTCTTATTACACATATAGAACACAATTTTTCATATCTTTGGTTGTATACACAGTATATTTACACCAATTCATGTTTTTATACCTGTACTTTGTATAATAATGATCATCACATTCCACCATCATTAATAACCCCATGCCCCCTCCCTTCCCCACCAACCCCTCTGCCCTATCTAGAGTTCATCCATTCCTCCCATGCTCCTGCTCTCTATTCCACTATGAATCCGCCTCCTTATATCAAAGAAAACATTCAGCATTTGGTTTTTTGGGATTGGCTAACTAAACCTCAATTTCTATAAGTATTTTCTCAAAGGGCTAGTAACCCTTTTGGAGAGAAGAACACATCATGCTTCATTTAATGAGAAGATGTAACAGATATGTATAAGTGATTATTAGAATTACATCTGTTTGCTAGTTTATCTTATACATTTCAAGTCATCTCTATCCCTATTTTAAACACATAGTCAATAAGGAAGTCAATATCCTCTCTTCTGAGGTACTATCTCATGTTTCCAATTTCTTCAGGGCCCATTTAAATTTTTTTTCATTTATGTTCTGATAAAGAGATGCATTTTAATTTAGTAATCACTTTCCATAGCAAGAGGCTGTGTAGCTAAATTCATGTCATTTAAAAATATACTTTAAGAAAGATTTTATGCTACAGAAATAGGTCAAAGAAATAGGGCATTTCATTGAGTAAAATGATCCTACCATCATCATATTAAATTATTTTCTACTTAGAAGATAATACTTTTGCAAGCCTTAATTGAGTACATTTCAATATTTTAACCATTCATTTTTCTATGCCTCAGTGGAGATTTACCCAGAAATCTGGTGGACAAACGCTCAATATATAGACTTAAGAGTATTTTAAACATTTCTTTATTTTCTATATATTGGAGCCAAAGTCAATTCTATGAATAAATCTATCTGCATATTTGAAAGTAAAAATAATATTTATTTCACCATGATCAAATGTTCAAATATAAACAATAAGGCAATTACATCTAATTAAAACATTATCAATATCAGTTAACTTTGTCCTTATGATTTATTTAAAATCCAGATACTTATAAGTAGTTTTAGAATTACCTCTGTTAGTTTGTGTTATATATTCAACTCATCTCTATTCCCATTTTAAACTTATAGTGAATGAGGACGTGAATGTCCTCTTTTCTGAGATACTATTCATTTTATCCAGAAATCAGGTGGGCAAATGATCAACATATTCATTTAAAATATTTTAAAGTATTTTTATGTATTTGATATTTGACTCTACTAAATAAATTTGGGCACAGATTTAGTAATAATTCATGTTAGAAAAATCTATTCTCAGTCACAGTTACACCAAATCTATGCCAGTTGCTCCAAATATTTCAGTGAAAAGCCTACTGTAGAAACCAGGAATAATCAATAATAAAGGAGTGTAGAAAGCACAATCTGCTTTTACCATATATGTGAGAACAAGCATGTAGGCTAAGGTTAAGTTTGTTCTGGTAACTCTTGACACATGTAGGTAGAATGTTAATTAGAGTGGTCATTATAAGATGTCATATAACTAAAAGATGTTTTCCAAAAACATTTAAGGTGCATCGTACTGGATTTATTTTTTTATAATTGCTATGATTAAATGATTCACCTCAATATACTCATTTGATAAAGATGTTTTTAGGGGCTAGAAATTTAATATACAACAAAAATTTAATATACAACAAAAGCTCTGTTTGCCAAATGACAGAATTTAAGAACATTTGATGGGTTCTTACCAGAGCAATACACTGCATTTCAATGGTGCTTAGAGGTGGTCCAGGAGAGCTATGGATCTCAAGGTGATACCAGATTCTTAAATTGCTAAAATTATCATCTGAAAACAAAACAAAACAAAAACTTAAGGAAAAAAAAACAGTGCTTCTTAATATAGACTTTAGAATACTATATTTAACATACAAATTTAAGAATCAAGAATAGACATAATTGTTAAATTCTTTTTAGTGGATTCTTTGTCAAGAGAGCTGAGGGCAGAATAAGAAGTCACTCTCATCACAATTTGTGAGCAATAAAGGAATCCCTATCCTGCATGGCCATGAGACTATCTTATCAAATCTCCTGGTCCTATGTCTGTCCCAGTAACTCACTAAGTTTTCCACTGAAACACACTTAAGAAATAAACTTTTATTCTAATTGTCCAAACATTCATAGGTTTGAAAACAGAATTGTCTAAAGAATGCATTAAAATTTTCAAGGGTACATTTTCAGTATCATAAGAATTTAGACTGAAGAGAAAGTCAGGTATGTGAAATTTCAGGTTTCTTGGGAGCATGAGAAAGGGTGCTAGCAATTCAGCTCAAGGAAAGCCAGAAACGGGTTTGCACCAAGTAATGAGACAATGATGTTTACATCTAGGTTCCTGATGGTTCTTAGAAAAAGCAGGCAATTCTGCCACTACTGTTGTCCAAAGCCATGCCCTTCACCCTGAAACTAGAACCCTGCTCCACCACTAAGTTCCTGCATAACAGGATCTTATACATGGATCAAATTCATTTTCTTTCTCTCCATTTTTTTCCCTCATCTTTTCAGCTTCTCATTTTGATACTGTTTGTCTTCCAGTGTTGAGCTAACTCATCATGTTTTAAGCTGTCCTTTAGTTATAGTAAATCATATGCATATTCACATTATCATTGTCATGATTCAAAAATTTCAAAAACTGTTAGGTTAGATTCTTTTACTGAGGTAAGTTAATAACCTCTTTGGGCTTCACTTTCCTCATCTATGAAGTAAGGGACCCATACTAGTAGCATTCACAGTATTTCTGTTTTCTGAAAATCTTCTCCAGAAGTATATTACTTTCCATTGTACTGCATTATGTTGTATTTGTATGGCATTGTGTGACACAGAATGTCATTGAATGACATATTGTACTGAATTGCATGATGGTATTTTACTGCACTATACTGTTCTGTGCCATCTTTATTGTACTACATTTTATTATATTACATCCCATTCTAATACTTTATTTATTTAAAAAAATAACACTTAAAATTGATAGATTTGAGCTGGGCATGGTGGCGCATGCCTATAGTCCCAGTGGCTCGGGAGGCTGAGGCAGGAGGATTGCAAGTTCCAGGACAGCCTTAATAACTTAGCAAGGCCCTAAGCAACTTAGCGAGATCTTGTCTCAAAAAAGAAAAAAAAAAAGTGTTAGGAATGAGGTTCAGTGGTTGAGAGACTCTGGGTTCATCACCAGTACAAAAAAAGAAAAACAAATGATGTATCTGGGAAGCATTCAGAGCAATGAGCTAAAGGGAGTAGTAGAAGAGCTCTAGGTAAGTTCTGATTCCAAATACCTGTGAAAAGTTAAGGGTAAACTTACCTACATGTTCTGAACCTGTGCTTATTTATTTTGCAGATACCAGTTCATTTCCTTATAACCATCAATGTGCACAGAATAAGGTCACCACATTTATACTGATGTGAGATTATGAAGGAAAATTCTGCTCACATTTGTATGAACTGTTCCTTCAATTTCAGGAAGGTACTTTTGTGACATTTAAATGTAACTCCCCCCACCCTCAATAAAAAATCCCAAAGTTTTAAAAATAAAAACTATTTCCTCTTCTAGGTAGCTCACAATCATTTTTATCTGGGTTTTTCCAATGCTTTAACTCACACTGAATTCACAGAGAAGAGAAACAGTATCTACAAGTAAGGAGATTATTTTTTGTGGCTCTCTGTAAATACAATGAACATCAGAATTACCTGAGATTAGAAGACCAGGGTTCAAACCCCAATCTCAACTTGACCACCATTATCTTATGATCTATTTGGCAAACTATCTCAACAGTCTATCCATCTGTGGAATGGGTACTATATTAGTCAAGGCTATCCAGAAGAACAGAACCAAAAAGATAGGGGTGTTTGAGAGATGAGCAGGACGGTGGTGGGGTGGGAGGGAAATTCTATTCTTTCTATTTCTCTTAAGAACTCTGGCTAATACAAATTCATTCAATAAAAATGTCTTCTTAGGTATACCTCTTTGTCTCCTCAACTTGGCTTTTAGTGAACATCTCTTTCTAATAACCTCTTAAGTCAGTGCTACTCACCAAAGAACAACTCATTCTCCAGGAAACCTGTCCTGACTACTCCAATTCTCCATTATCACATTTTCCTTTGGACTTATTAAAAAATATGATGTTTAACAATGTTCTAACAAAGCTTTATAATATAGGAAGGTAAAACAATAACATTTACTTTCTTTGGTATGAGAATGATCACCATGATCTTCTATTAAAATCAAACCACATCACATTGTTAAAGTAACACAACTCATTAATATTTTATCACAAATTTTCTGTTTTAGTAACAGAAAAATATGCAATGCTTTTCACTTATGGTAGGCAGCTTCAAGCTGAAGTATTATAATCTTTTGATAGTAATAGTAGTAAAAATCCAGAAAGTAGGCTATGTAAAGTTAATCCTGAACTAATACAATAAAATTCTTATAGACATATGCAACAGAAATTTGTATGTGTTTATGTATGTGAAGTATATATTTTATTTAAAAGTGAATAATGATGAAGGTTTGTGCAGACTAATCATGAAACTCTCATCATAATTAATTTACCTGAGTCTTCCTCAAGAAAAATGGGAGATAGTTCTGATGGTGACTTTTGAATGGAGAATTCTTGATCTGTATCTGGCTCTTCCTGAGACTCAACATCATCTCTGCTTTTAACAGAAAATGAAATTATACCTATAATACAAGATGTAAGATGTCAGATTAACCAGGAAATAGTTTTTAAAACTGACAGGTTAGTCCCAAGTATTAAAGTAACTTTGGCTTGAAACATAAATATAAAGTCAAACATAAATTCTAGATGTTGGTATCAGAATTAAACCTCACAGAGGTATAGAACAATTTAATGGAAAATTCAAGAAAATATTTTCAAAATCTCCATTAAAATGGTAATTTTTCAACAGCTTTTCTGCAAAATTAAGAAAAAGGGGTAAATAACAGAACTGTATTAGCTTTCAGAAAACGTATTGATCCTGGGTTACTCTTTAGACATATTTACTTCTTAAGAAATGTTTAATGCTCAAGGCTGGGGTTGTGGGTCAGTGCCTAGCATGTGTGAGGCCCTGGGTTTGATTCTCAGCACTATATTTAAATAAATGAATAAAATAAAGATCCATCAACATCTAAACAATTTTTTAAATGTTTAATACTCTATTTATTGTCTCATTTAAAATTCTTAATTTTGTTTTATATATCATAATTCTCCAGGTACAAATTTTCCTATGAACATTTAATATGTAAAATACTAAATATTGTGTGATTAAGGTTGTTAGTGTCAAAAATTGTCACTATCTGGAATTTTTGTTAAATTAAAATTTACTTTTATAAGATTGGTATTCATTTTTAAAACTAGGGATAATATACTTACAGAAATAATTCATAAATTGGCCTTGATCTTTCCGTATGAACTTAACATAAACAAGGCTTTGTACATAAACCATGTGTTCCTAGCCATGAATCATAATCAAATAGCTTAGATCAATGTTTACCAATATTCTGTAATTTAATTATGGTAGTCTCCATATTTTATTTGTTGTAAAGACAATTAAAATTGAAATTAAAAATCCAGATTATCTTAGTTTTGAGAGTGAACACCCTTCTGGGAAAAAAAAGATTTTGAAGGAATTATATATAATACACACACATACACACACACACGAGTCATATCCCCAGCCCGTGTGTGTTTGTCTAATGTATGTGTGTGTGTGTGTGTGTGTGTGTGTGTGTGTATGGGCTAGGGATTTGGCTCAGTGGTTAAACACCCCTGGGTTCAATCACTAGTACAAAAAAAGGAATTGAAAATAGACATTCTCTATTCTTACTCATTTCAGTCCATTAAAAACTCAGCATATTTTTCCTTCCTCCAATTCATTTCTCAAAGTTTTATTACACTTTTATTTCTTTTAACAAATAGAAATTGGGCAATCATTGGTAAAAACAATTCTAGAGCCTTGTATGATTATCAAAAGACCATATTTTATAGAATAGAATGAGAAATTAAATTTAGTATTTATCTTAATGAATAGAAATAAGTGAAGAGAACTATGTAAGCAATTATGGGTCTATTCTGTAAGTTTAAGTTTTAATTGAAGGGACATTTTTAAACCATGCCTAGTAGAATTATGCCACTAATTAACACTTTTTTCTAATGTAAAACCTTTTTCTTGGAAATGTCATTTTAAATTTAATTTTATTTCTAAACAATTACCTTTTTAAGTTTAACTTTATTTTTAGTTATTAATTAACTGTTGTGGAACAAATAAGAAGTTGCATTATTAGGTACTTATTACAAAGCATACCATTAGGCTTAACAATTTATTCTCAGCAATGAATCTTTGAACCAAACACAGTAAATAATAAATTTGCACAGAATATGAGTTTGTAAAACATGATAATTTTTTTCACAATATATGTACATATGATTATTTTGTTCCCTATATTGCAGTATTCAGGCTAAGGTCAACTGATACAAAAAGAAACAAACATGAATTAAACATCTGATTCTTATTGTTTGAATTTGTCAGAGTGATAGGAAAATTATTAGACTGCTTTGGTAAAGATATAAGCATAATAAATAATGGTAGTGTGTCAAAACAACTCTACATTAAGATACAGCATTTTTGACTTAATAGAAATGTTCAGTTTGTCTAAAGAGTATGAGAAAAAAATCTAATAATAGAAATTATAGCCATTAAAGTTTCTAAAGCACAATCTTTTATTTTAAAAAATTGTTTTTCCCCTTTATAAACCCTTTATATAGTTGATTTAAAAAACTGTTTCTTTCAACAACCAGTAAGACAAACATTTCCTAGAATACAAGTTTTTTTTTTTTTTAATTGGGGATGGCTTTTCTCTAATTTCATATTAGTTTGTGAAAAACCCAGACTTAAGTCCCCTCATAGTTATCCTGCCCTCTCCCCTAGCTTCATGCCTCATCACTCCCTATTTTTATAGAGAAGGGCTCTGGAGGAACATTCTTGTATGACTGAGAGTTATCAATTTGTGAATTTCTCAGAGCTTATTAGTTCAATCAAGAAGTTTTTTTTTTCTTTCATATGTGTTTGTTCTGTGCATACACATGATCAAATGAACTTAAATAATTATTGTTTCTCTAATCTCATACTATCTAATATAATCTAAGTAGGAAGGCTAAGATGGCCTCAGGAATATTTGCCAAACCTCCTCTTCTTTTTTTTTTTTTCTTTTTCTTTTTTTTCTTTTTGAGAGGGATCTTCTTAAGTTGTCCCAAGCTAAACTCAAATTCCTGGGTTCAAGTGATCCTCCTGCCTCAGTCCTAAGTACTAGCACTATAGGTGTGTACCATTGTGCCTAGATCTCCCTTGATTTTTTCTTGCTTTATTTTAAGCTTATTTTAAACTTATTTTCTTCATTAGGGGACCAAAGAAAGAAAGAAAGAAAAAGGGAATGTGAGAAAAACAAAATTAGGGGTGATAAACAGAGCCTGGAGCAAAATATTCAAGCAGTGATGGTCCAGTTGGCTATGAAAACTCTAATTCTTCCTGGTCTATATAAGAAAAAAAATAAAAGGATAAATTTAAGCAAAAAATAAAAACTTCTCTTCAATAGACACTGTGAAGAAAATTAAAAGGAAAGCAAAAGAATAGAACAAATTTTTTGAAAACATGTCTCTGATAAAAAAAAAAAAAAAACATGTATCCAGACTATACATGTATATATAAGCATATTTGTTTTTATTGTGTTTTTCTTTATTGTGCTTTGCAGACATTGCATTTCTGAAAAATTGAAGGTTTGTGGAAACCTTGCTTGGAGCAAATCTACCAGAGCCATTTTTTCCCACAGCTCAGATGATTGCTAGCATTTTTCCATAAATTATTTTTTAATTAAAGTATGTACACTGTTTTTTAGACATAATATTATTGTACAATAGACTACAGTATAGTGTAAACATAACTTGTATATGCACTGAGAAAGCAAAAAAATTCATGTCACTTGCTTTATTTCAATAATATGCTTTAGTGTGGTGACCTAGAACTGAATCTGCAATATATCTAAGGTATTTTAAAACTCTCGAAATTTAGCTCGGCACAGTGGCACACTCCTGTAATGCCAATGGCTTGGGAGGATGAGGTAGGAGTTTTGAAATTTTGAAGACAGCCTCAGCAACTAATTAAGATCCTGTCTCAAAATTAAAAAAAAAAAATAGGGCTAGGGATGTGGCTATGTGGTAAACATCCCTGGGTTGAATAGCCAGTACCAAAAACAAATAACAAACAAAAATCTGTGAAAATTTAATAACAAGAAAATAAACAACCCAATAGAGGCAGAAGGCAAAAGGGAAAGGATTTGAAAAGACATTTCAGTAAAGAAAATATACGGTGACAGATAAGGACATAAAAAAATGTTCAATATCATTATTCATTAAAGAAATGCAAAATAAGAGCACAGTGTAATACCATTATACACAAATTTAAAGGGCTAAAATTAAAATAACTAACCCTCCTAAATATGCTCATGGTTGTAAAGGAACTAAAACACTAACCTACTGCTGGTGGAGATGGAAAAAAAAAGTAACCTCTTTGGGAAACTGGCAGTTCCTTTACACATTATGCACTCAGTTGCCAGGTGATCTGGCCATTTCATTCATAAGTATTATATGCCAGAAGAATAAAAGCATATGTCCATACAAAGACTTACACATGAATGTGCATAGCAACTTATTTTTTAATGTTTTTATGTGTGTGTGTGGGGGGGGTGCTGGGAATGGAATCAGGGCCTTGCATATGCTAGTAAAGAGCTCTACCCCTGAGCTATATCCTCAACCCACAGCTTTATTTTTAATTAAAATAGGAAAACCTTACAAATGTTCATCAATAAACAAATGTTGATATATCTTCCATAGAATACTGTTCAGCATTAAAAGGAATAAACTATTAATAAACTATGTGGATGGATCTCAAAATAATCACTTTGTACAAATACAGCAGCCATAAAGGATGCACACTTTATGATTCATTTTTATGTAATGTTATAAAATATGTGTAAAATGATAGGTAACATAATTGGTTGCCTATAGTTAGGGTAGCTTGAGGTATGAGAGATGAAGTGGGACAAAAGGACCAAAAATGAGCACAAGGAAAGTTTTTGGAGCGATAGGTATATTTATTATCTCAATTGTGTTAAAGGCTTCATAGATATATATGTATGTTAAATATTTTCAAAATGTATACTTTAAATAAGTGTGATTTATTGTCAGTTCTACAACAATAAACCTGTTAAAAATTATCCTGCCAGTTTCAGAGATTATACCTGTCACTCCCTGGCCAGCATTGCTCATAAGTAAAACAATAGAAATTGTGAGTCATCCCAAATCAGAAGTACAAATAAGATGCTCAAGTGAGCTAGTTCAAAATAAAGAAAAGAAAAAGGGGAAGGGTCCATCAAAGTAGAAGAAAGATCATTGTAGTAGAGGAAGGGGACTGGAGGGCAGGGAGGAGCAACAGGGTAAGGGAAGAACAGTGGAATGAATCTGACCTCACTTTCCTATGTACATATATGAATATACCACAGTGAAATCTCACCATCATGTACATCCACAAGACAGTAGTTAAAATCAATCAATCAATAAGTAAATAGCAGAATGTTCAGTAGACTAGAGGGAAGGGAATGGGGAAGGGAGGAGGGAAAAGAAAAGAAAA